ACAATCAACATAATAACTACTATGTTTTTATTATGATCATAAAAAGAAATTGAGTGTTATTTTAAATCCTTTTAAATCATATGTATATTAATTTCCAATTTGAAAAATTAAATAATATCATTTTGGCAGCTAAAAGGATAAGAATTTTTATTTTTTATATGTACCTAGTATGATTTTTTTGTTTAAAATGTTGTTTCACCTCAATTTTAAGATATATAATTAATATATTGTTAAATAATAGAGCATTTATAATAATAATAAAAGGAAATAATTTAATTTTTTGCAGAATGGATTTTTCAGATAAGAGACCTTTAAGTGGTTAAGACCTAAACAATTAAATAGTCTAAACTATAGAAAAAGAAGTTGATTAATTAAATTATTTTAATTATAGGTTTGAAAAAACAATGATTCAAATTAAATATACTTAAGATCATTAAATTATATATTCCAAAAATGGTAAAGTCTTGAGAATGTAATTATTATTATAAGTGAAACATAAAGGGATTATGTACTTAATATTCTCAAAGATCAAGAGATATTGAATAGATCTAATATCTTACTTTATATAACTAATCAGAACAAGGAAGTAGATAAATGGATTGCATTTTGGAAAAAAATGTTTTAGATAACGTTGGAGGATATAATAATAAAAATTTTATGCTATGAGATTTGATAAAAGATAGGATTGTGGAATGAATTAAACGAAAATTATTGGACTTAAGTATTTTAACTGAGAATACTATAAAATAGGAATATCGAGTTATAAATATAATAATTTAAAAAAAGTGTTAATTCTAACTTAAAATTAGAGAAGGTGGTAGATATAATAAATAAGGACAAAAGGGTGATGAATTAATTAATTTGGATGGATATTGGGATCAATCATAAATCACAAACAAAAAAGGCGAATATAATATGAGGGGATGAAAGTAGGTAAATGGGACATTATGTATTGTAAGAATGGAGATGGAAAATATAAATAAATGTAAATTTTATAAAATTAAAAGCAATAATATGAATTTAGAGGCGATGGAATATCATTAAGATGGGATATATATAAATATTGGAAAATGGATAGAGTTGAATGAAGGATTTAGAAATCAATAACTAATCATCCATAAAGGCGAATATAGTATAAACGGCAGGAAGTTAGGTAGATTGAATATCATGTATTGCCTTTTTCTAAATATAGCACATAAATAAATGTAAAATGATAAAAATATATGTTTTTAGTAGAGGTGGACTATACGATTAAGGCGGCAGCTAGATAAAAATTGGAAAGTGGATGAAGTTCGATAAACGATTTAAGGATAAAAATTAGGTCACTCAGTATGGCGTATATAATAAGGCATGAAGATTGGTAAATGACTTCCTTAAAACTTAAATATAAATTACTATAATCACAATTTCTAATAACTAAGAAAAAAAAATTATGAACCTATTTGAACACCTTGCTCCTTATTTTCAATAACTATTCTAAAAGTTACTTTTTATTGAAGGCAAAATCTAGTATATAATTTCTTAATAATATTTATCAAATTTAGTATCAAAATAAAGATAGAAGATTCGAAATCCAGAGGCTCTAAAGAAAATATTGATCTAATACTTGAAAATAAAATTTTTAATAAAAAATCATTATTATATAACTGATTTAGCTTCTGTTCAATAAAGTGAGTATTCTTAGAATAAAATTTATTAGATAATTGATCAATTTTATCAATATTTCTTAATCTTTTTATCCAATTAAAACAGGAATTTTTATAACTTAGAGATACATGTAAAATACCAATTCAGTTTTCCCCCTTTTATTTAATTTATAATAGTTAATTTGATTATGTTTTTCTATTCAGAAAGTATTGATTAAGTTTATGTGAAACCTTATTTGAATAAATCCTAACTTTTAAAGAGAGAAAATAGTAAAAAGTAAAAATTTACCATCCGAAATAACAAATACTAATAGTAGAATAGTTTTTGTCCTGTTAATACCCATACAGATAATTGATCATAGAAATAGCAATCAATAACTTATAAAAAGGGGAAACTGATGTAAATTTGGCTGCGTGCATGAATTAAAACAAAGAATTATTATTTTTTGGTTCTGGAGAGCATTTGAAAGTTTTTTATTTCAAGAATAATACAATGAAATTTATATAAAGACTTTTAGGACATTAAACTTTGATAACTGTTCTAAATTTCTTCGTAAAGAATAAAAATGTCATTTCTGGATCAGAAGATTCCTCATTAATTCTATGGCCTGCCAGTCTAATTTCAAATCGAAAATTCATCATAAAATTAAAAGGTCATAAATCTATAATCAATTGTATTGTACTAACACCTAAAGTTGAAGATTAAATCTTTAGTGGCTCGGATGATAACACAATAAAAATTTGGTCATAATCTTCTTAAAAATGGTGTCGTACTTAGACTTTTAATTAGCATCATTAAAGTGTCTAGTCGATGTCAATCAATAATGAAAGAAATAAGTTAATATCTTGTTCTAGCTAAAGTTAAAACATATTAATTATGGAAAGGTCTAATGGTCTGCATTGGCAAATAGCATAACAAATGAAAACTTATCAAGAAGGAGCTAGTTTAGCATTCATCACAAACAACATGTTTGTATATCAACCACTTTTAGGAACTCATCTTTTATTATATACATTCAATAATAAATAACACAAATTTACACAATAACGTGCTATACCTATATAAAAAGATATTTCAAGTTGTAGCAGTCCATATCCAGCTATTTATAGTGAGAAAAAGAACATACTTGTTTTTAAGCATGGCGATTACATAGATGTTTTAAGAATAAGGCCTATTTCTGAGATAGATTGCGAGTGTTATTTGCTTTAGACTATTCAATTTGAAAATGCTCCATGGATGTTTGGAACCATAAATGATTCAGGAGATTTTTTGATCACATGGGATTCCAATTCAGAAAAAATTTAAATAAGAAAATACACAGGTAAATTCCGTTATAAATTATAAGAATTAAGAAGAAAATGGAACAAAAATTCATCAATATTTTGATAAATATAATATTGCTATTGCTTATCTATTATATTCTTATGATTATATTATAATAATTCAATGAGACAGGAAAATTCTGATAACTGAATTTCTCTTAAATTAAAATTCTTACAGTTATCTAACAGATGGTATAAGCTAGTCTATTTTTAATATAATAAAAAAAATTTAGGCTAATTTTATTTCAAAATCAAATCAGAAATGGATTTTTAATGATAAAATATATATATTTGCCTATCATAAAATGATCAGATATATCAGTCTACAATTTATGTAGTATTTCTTTGGAAACAATTTTTCTTTCTAATTTAGAAAAATAAATAATCTAAATTTATACCCTTACTATTTTCAAATAAGTTAATATTTTTTCGAAATTTTTAAAACAATCAACATAATAACTACTATGTTTTTATTATGATCATAAAAAGAAATTGAGTGTTATTTTAAATCCTTTTAAATCATATGTATATTAATTTCCAATTTGAAAAATTAAATAATATCATTTTGGCAGCTAAAAGGATAAGAATTTTTATTTTTTATATGTACCTAGTATGATTTTTTTGTTTAAAATGTTGTTTCACCTCAATTTTAAGATATATAATTAATATATTGTTAAATAATAGAGCATTTATAATAATAATAAAAGGAAATAATTTAATTTTTTGCAGAATGGATTTTTCAGATAAGAGACCTTTAAGTGGTTAAGACCTAAACAATTAAATAGTCTAAACTATAGAAAAAGAAGTTGATTAATTAAATTATTTTAATTATAGGTTTGAAAAAACAATGATTCAAATTAAATATACTTAAGATCATTAAATTATATATTCCAAAAATGGTAAAGTCTTGAGAATGTAATTATTATTATAAGTGAAACATAAAGGGATTATGTACTTAATATTCTCAAAGATCAAGAGATATTGAATAGATCTAATATCTTACTTTATATAACTAATCAGAACAAGGAAGTAGATAAATGGATTGCATTTTGGAAAAAAATGTTTTAGATAACGTTGGAGGATATAATAATAAAAATTTTATGCTATGAGATTTGATAAAAGATAGGATTGTGGAATGAATTAAACGAAAATTATTGGACTTAAGTATTTTAACTGAGAATACTATAAAATAGGAATATCGAGTTATAAATATAATAATTTAAAAAAAGTGTTAATTCTAACTTAAAATTAGAGAAGGTGGTAGATATAATAAATAAGGACAAAAGGGTGATGAATTAATTAATTTGGATGGATATTGGGATCAATCATAAATCACAAACAAAAAAGGCGAATATAATATGAGGGGATGAAAGTAGGTAAATGGGACATTATGTATTGTAAGAATGGAGATGGAAAATATAAATAAATGTAAATTTTATAAAATTAAAAGCAATAATATGAATTTAGAGGCGATGGAATATCATTAAGATGGGATATATATAAATATTGGAAAATGGATAGAGTTGAATGAAGGATTTAGAAATCAATAACTAATCATCCATAAAGGCGAATATAGTATAAACGGCAGGAAGTTAGGTAGATTGAATATCATGTATTGCCTTTTTCTAAATATAGCACATAAATAAATGTAAAATGATAAAAATATATGTTTTTAGTAGAGGTGGACTATACGATTAAGGCGGCAGCTAGATAAAAATTGGAAAGTGGATGAAGTTCGATAAACGATTTAAGGATAAAAATTAGGTCACTCAGTATGGCGTATATAATAAGGCATGAAGATTGGTAAATGACTTCCTTAAAACTTAAATATAAATTACTATAATCACAATTTCTAATAACTAAGAAAAAAAAATTATGAACCTATTTGAACACCTTGCTCCTTATTTTCAATAACTATTCTAAAAGTTACTTTTTATTGAAGGCAAAATCTAGTATATAATTTCTTAATAATATTTATCAAATTTAGTATCAAAATAAAGATAGAAGATTCGAAATCCAGAGGCTCTAAAGAAAATATTGATCTAATACTTGAAAATAAAATTTTTAATAAAAAATCATTATTATATAACTGATTTAGCTTCTGTTCAATAAAGTGAGTATTCTTAGAATAAAATTTATTAGATAATTGATCAATTTTATCAATATTTCTTAATCTTTTTATCCAATTAAAACAGGAATTTTTATAACTTAGAGATACATGTAAAATACCAATTCAGTTTTCCCCCTTTTATTTAATTTATAATAGTTAATTTGATTATGTTTTTCTATTCAGAAAGTATTGATTAAGTTTATGTGAAACCTTATTTGAATAAATCCTAACTTTTAAAGAGAGAAAATAGTAAAAAGTAAAAATTTACCATCCGAAATAACAAATACTAATAGTAGAATAGTTTTTGTCCTGTTAATACCCATACAGATAATTGATCATAGAAATAGCAATCAATAACTTTGACGGTAAGCCAAAAGTTCTAAAGTAAAAAAACTTAATTATATAAAGCTGTAGAGGTATTTTCGACAATCTATACAAAAAAATCTCTTATATATCTAAATCCAAAAAACCATAAATCAGATATCAATATGAAATGTGAAGTTGTATTAAAAAATACATAAAATTGTTAGATTTACCAGCATTTAAGCTGATATATATCCATGCTAAACACTGCATTCATTAGATTTCTGATTATATTAAGCTGCCATCTGTTATAAATGCATTCACTTTTAGTAAGTGATTTTAAGCCATTTATCTGTCATCCTTTAGTAGTAATTTAGCTATTCCAAAATGATGCAACCTTTATGCAAAAATTGCATGACGATATAGAATCTTCGCAATATACTCTAAAATTTTAAATTCCCCATTTCTTCCAATTAAAGTCGAAATTTTGGACTAAACATTTATGAATATTCTATAAATATCATTTGGTTTATTGCTATAATTTCAATTCAGATTTTACTTAAAAAATAAATTGCATATTTAAGTTTATTTGACTTCAAACTCAATTATTCCTATAATTATTCTTGTACTTAGGAACTATTGTATTTGATTCAGCTTTCTTGAAAACTTTCATTTTACTAAATTTTTTTCCAATGCTTTGTCTTTTCATGAATTATTTTTATTTATTAGATACACATGATAAATATTACAAAGTAGACTCTAAAAAATTCAATATTTCTTTAGCATTTCGAATTACAGAATTGATCAAAATTTAATAAAACTGATACAAACTTTAAATACACTTATTGTTGATTTTTTTTATGATCAAAAATTTTACGAGCTTTCCTCCACCTATTACATTTATTATTTCGTATAACTTTGGTTTATTATTAATATGCATTTGATATTTTTTAATACACTCCCTTTTTCTCATTATTTCATTTATTTTTTACATTGATTTGAACTTATTATACAATATTGATATTCAAATTTATTAGTGATCATAACTTCAAAAATAAGAATAAAACATTTACCATCTATATTATAATACATTATTTTTAATCTAAAAACTAATTAAATATGAACAAACTATAGAAAATTAAGATTGCAAACTTAAATAAAGATACATTAGTTGATAATAATGGCAATAAAGTAATCTAAATAGATAAAAAATTTGATTTTCAATATATACTGTTAATTAAAAAAATTAAATATAAAAGAATATGTTGGTTTGAATAATAATTGCTCTATTAAGACTTAATTTATGTATAAAAAAATTGAAATTTCATTTACTCAAATGACAAGATATGTTTTTTGAAAATATTCCAATCTTTTAATAACCTTTATTCAGACAAAAAGGCTCATTTAGTTTGAAATTCAAATAAGGAAAACTTTAAAATCACAAAGAAGACATCATGAAAAAATCAAAATACTCCATATAAACATCTGTATTTTATACGAAG